CAGCAAGATATTAAAAAAAACGTTTTATTGATTAAAAAACACACTATATCGGATTCATATCGGTATCGGCAGATATCCAAATTTATGATATCGGTATCGGTATCGGACATAAAAAAGTGGTATCGTGCCATCTCTAGTCTGGGGTTGCCATTCAATCAGCTTTGACATCACTTTAGGTTCTTGGCTAGCTTAGCATTAGCATGTTGTCTATGCGTTACTTGCAAAGAGCCAAAGTTGTGTTAAGAGCATAGTACAGTTGTTTCTGTCCTGGATATCATTTGCACTTTAACACCAGCTGATTGTAGAGCAAGTGCAAGTGGATAAGTGGAATCGATTGGCAAACACATTAACGGTTCCAAGGACTTGGACTACTGGGAACTGTTTCTCTACAAGAACTGGTTATTGATTCCCATCCTTAATTAGAATAAAACTCATTTCTGCCAAATCTATCTTTAAAAGTGAAAGCCCAAAGAGGAACCAACATTTAAAATGAAAGAGGTAGGAACTGAAAAAAAAGGAGAGAATAAACTCAGACAATAACACACAGACAGACAAAGAGGACATAGAGTAAAGGAAGTTACATTCAACAACACAAAGGCTTATACAAACAAGCACTTCCATAGATTTATTCAGAGGTAAGAGAAATGAATCTAAGCTAAACTTCAGGAGGAAATAAAGAATATGGTACTTTTGATTACACTGTGACACCTGAGAAAAAAACAGACAATATGGTAGGGATGGTGTCACACACATTAAATTACTAATGTGTGTTTTTTAAAGGGAGTTCCTGACTTGATGAGTGGGAAAAAATGACATTTCCCATACCTGTGATTTGTTGCCAAAAAGCCACGCCATTGTTTATATAATAATTCATATAAATTTAATAACTTGAAAAATGTTAACCTCTAAAAACTGTAAGTATGTCTGCAAACTTCAATTTGTAGATACATTTCATCAAAATGTTTGTTTTTTTGATGTGTATTTTCCTGAATTTGTATGCAGCACACATCCCCACATAGCAAAATTGGTATGGCCCAGATCTGGCCCACACATTTCGCTTACACGTGGCGCATATGCGCATATACCACAAAGAATGACGGCCCTTTGGTGGCCCAGATCAGGTTACCAGAGGTGGCCCACACATGGGCCAGAACAAGGCCAGTTGCAGACACACTGCTGGCCCTGTGCTGGCCCAGAACAGTTTCAGCTCTGGCCCCAGATATCAGCCTAATGTGTACCTTAATCAAGCCATGAAATAACAACATGTGCTGGAACATAATAGTACAAAAGTAACATGACGAAACTGTGTTCAGACAGTGCATGGACTGATTCTTAACTCAGTGCTTCCTAACTACATTC